ATAAGGAGATTCAGTTGACTATAGGGGTCGAGACTATATTTTCACAACTGGGCTATCTCACACGCGATAGCCGTCGTGGTTGGACATCCCCGACTTCCGAATTACAGCCAACCAATCACATAACCAACACCTAACTAGCAACGCCTTCATACTGACACCGATAAGTCAGAAGCACGTATGCACCTGACTCCCTCTCAATGTGGCCTATATGGCATTTTAATGCATGTGAGTTCCCAGCCAGCAATACAGAACTCTGACATACTTGCAATGAGGACTGAATCCTATGTGGTAGGCATTGACAGACACATACAGTAGTCTTGCCACTATCTCCTAATTGGAGGGGTATGGGGCTAGGGGTAGAGCGAGGGGCAGTTAGTTAAGTAAAAATGCACCCGTATACAGTAGGGAAACATGTACAATATAATGACGGAGGACCCTGTCTTCGCAGAAGGTGAGAACAATGGTGCAAAAAATATTCATGAAAAAGGAACGCACCTTTATGGACGCCATCAATGTGCCGAGTCAGGTCTCTCTTCTGTGTAAAGCCCTTTCCGCATACCTTACACACAAAGTCTCGCCTTTCTACAACACAAATCGATGGGAAAAGCAATCGATAAGAGTCAAGGCCCACCTTCCAAATCCTAAACAAGGCCAGTTATGTGTCAAATACCGCAATTACCACTTACTTTGGGGTTATATGAATTCAGTCGAACGCCTTCTCGTTTGAGGAATTTTAGCAGCTCATCGATCAAGTGCTGCGGGGTCTTGACATCGTCCACGCCTACACTGGTGATTTGCTGGTGGCGACGTCGGACGCTTACGAACACAAGGCCAATCTTCGATAACTGTTCGGATGACTCGACCCTTACAGCTGTAAGGTGAGAGCCCAACCTAGTCAGCTTGTTTCTGCAAAGCAAGAATTCCAGTCCCTCTCACTATTAACCAATTCTGCCGCTTCTTCGCTATGGTGAGATATTACCATCGTTTTCTCTTTTACAGTTCTGTCATCTTGCAGCAGCTCACTAAAAGCAGATGCTCGTGATGACTGCAGAGACCTTTAAGTCTTTCGAAGACGTCAAGGTTGATTTTGCGAAAAAAAATCCTCTTTGGCCATCTCTACTCTTTTGCTCAGCCAACAGATGCTTCCCACATTGCCGTTGGCGCAGGCCTCCAGAAAACCGTTTGGGATGTTCTAAACCTCTGACCTTCAGTTTAATGGAGGCTTAGCCCAGGAGAAACTCCTACAAGGTCTTCAGCCAAGAACTTTTTCCTATCTACCTAAACATCCGTCATTTCCAACACTTTCTCGAGGGTCGCCAATTCGTTGTGCTTATGAATCAAAAATCCCTAATTTCTGCTCTAAGGGCTACTCGTCATCGCTGCACGCCTCGCGGTATATGTCATCTAGACTTCATGCTACAGATTTGAGGCGACATTCAACATGTCTACAGCCAGCAAAAGGCGGCTGCTGATCTATTTGGACTCCGTCACGAAAAAGCCAATCTATTTTTACGTTCATAACTCATGGATACTCACCGAACTGATGACAAATTCCTAGATTTCGCCGTGACGACTCCTCACATCTTTAGAATGTCTTTCTCTCTCAAATGGAGTTTGCACCATCACTCCTTACCTTTCTGGAGTTTGGAAGTCAGTGAAACTGACCAATAAATAATTCGTTTGGCCCAATATGCACCGGGGTGTGCGGCGTTGGACCGGATCCTGTCCAGCAAGTCAACGGTCCAAAGGTCGTCGACATACCGCTTCCCCGTCGACTACTTCGTCCCTCCTGATGCGCGGTTCACTCATATACATAGTGGTCTGGTAGGTCCTTTCCCACATTCCAACAGTTCTACCCACCTGCTGACATATACAGAGAATTTTACTCGGTGGTCGGTTGATGCGCCTATTCTAAACATCAGTGCTGAAACCGTGGCGAAGGCTTTCAAAGCGCACTTCTCTTGGAGATTTCGTCGTAACGATTAGTCAATCGAATTATTCAATCGCAACAGAAACTGATAACCTGCAAACAGGATCCATCTTCTAGTTGTGGCGCTGAAACGCACGATCCAACTGACTTGAATCTGTCAGCCGGTGATTACGAAAACATGCAAACGTAAAAGAAGGGGAATTTACCAACACACACACGCAGCATTTCGACTGTTGATTCCAACGATATCCACCGCGTGATCTAGCACTCGATAGCAAATTAGGTGACTTGCGTGCGAAATAGATTTAAGTGATTGCATATATTTGCGGCACCTAATGCAACCTGTCATGCCAAATGTCATAACAGCAGCGGTCACGCAAAACACATGGCTAGCAATGTACCACAAAATAAATTTTATCTCGGCAACGGAAAAAGGTAAAAAGACACAGGCACTAAAAAATCGCTCACTCGGACAATCTTCTCCTTCCAAATTGTCAGTGCGTGTCATGCAAGAAGGGTCTTCAGGCTCACGCTTTGGATCTTTAGTCTCTACAAAGGGTTGGATAGTTCCAGTAAAAACGAAACTGTGGTATTTCGCGCTATACCTACTCCTGTAGCAAGCAGAGAATTGGAAGAGGATACATTATCTGTCACATTTAATTGGTATGTTGGCACACTAAACGCGACCGGGTGTGAGAGTAAAACGGTCTTGGCTTCATGTGATAAAGTTGATGATTTTGGGGACAGTGATGGTTGCCATTTATCCCCGTTGTTCGTAAAATCACTTTCCTTGGGTGCATATACGTTTTCTGGGCTCTGTCGATAAAAACAAGCGTGGTTAGGGCTAATTAAACCTTACAAGTCGAACTGATTTGTTGACCTAAAATCGATATAGACAAGTACCCAACTTACAAAATTACCTTAGAAATTCTCGATGAGCATTCGTCGTTGGCGTTTACTTCTTCCTGTGAAAGAGAAAATGTGCGAGAACTGAATTTATTGAATGTATGTATATAGTCCTATTAAACAGTGTAACAATGAGGATTATATGAGTGTATCTTTAAAACTTAGAGACGACAGTGATGTGGCAGAAATAGGCTTGCCTGTTTGATTCCAACAAGAGGCGAAGAGGGAACTGTATTCGACATTCTTCAATAATCATACAAGAACGAACGACAAACGTTAAACTAGCCGTCCTAGTCGCGGGAGGTGCTGTGATTTGCCACGCTTACTATTGGTCATTGTCAATGATCGCTAATTTGATGGATTATAGGGAAACGCAGTAATTGCCCAAGGTAACTCGGTGTTAGAAAGTTACAGAAAAAATTATTCCTCGTAATATGGTCAACGTATATAAAATAGCTGGAAGTCTTCCGAATTGCGGCGAATATTTGCATCCAAGGTGTGCATATAGAAGGTGCGTCGATCACCGGAATCATATTTTTATTCATCTGAGCTCCCGAACTCTTGCGGAAGTCCATCGTCAGAGAAAAAAACGGCAAGGAAAAAAAGGTCACAGTTATAGGTGGCATGTGCT